CACACACTCACATACACACACACTCACACACTCACACACACATGCACGCAATAACATATACACGCACTCACACACACTCACACATACATATACACTCACTCATATATATACACAGTTACACACACACACATAAACACACTCACATACACACACACATATACACATTCAAACGCATCGCTACTGAAAGGGAGCCACCGTGGTGTAGTGGTTAAACGTTCGCCCGTGGATCTGAAAATCGTGGGCTCATGTCCAGACGGAGCTGCGTGTTTCTTTTTATTTTAAATGACCCTGTCTTAAATGAGTACTAGGTACAGCGCTGGAGAAGTAATAGCTGCCACATCATCCATCAAAAACAGTGCCGATTGGTCTATCAAATAGAGGCCTAGCCCTATATGCCCAATAGCCCGAAAGGGGGTAAAGGACACTTTGCTTTTATAACCAGTGAATGGAACGTAATTTTGTGATCATTTTGAAATGTCAACACGTTTGTAATTAAATGAGAGAAAGTGTTTATTTGGCAGAAAAGAACACATTAGGATTGAAACAATCTATTGACAGTTCTTTTGCATCTGGGTCATCTGTAGTTTTTAGGCTCACAGGCATTTCCGTAATGTAATACGCATGTACGTACGGATGTATGTATGTATGTATGTATGTATGTATGTATGTATGTATGTATGTATGTATGTATGTATGTATGTATGTATGTATGTATGTATGTATGTATGTATGTATGTATGTATGTATGTATGTATGTATGTATGTATGTATGTATGTATGTATGTATGTATGTATGTATGTATGTATGTATGTATGTATGTATGTATGTATGTATGTATGTATGTATGTATGTATGTATGTATGTATGTATGTATGTATGTATGTATGTATGTATGTATGTATGTATGTATGTATGTATGTATGTATGTATGTATGTATGTATGTATGTATGTATGTATGTATGTATGTATGTATGTATGTATGTATGTATGTATGTATGTATGTATGTATGTATGTATGTATGTATGTATGTATGTATGTATGTATGTATGTATGTATGTATGTATGTATGTATGTATGTATGTATGTATGTATGTATGTATGTATGTATGTATGTATGTATGTATGTATGTATGTATGTATGTATGTATGTATGTATGTATGTATGTATGTATGTATGTATGTATGTATGTATGTAGGTATGTATGTATGTATGTATGTATGTATGTATGTATGTATGTATGTATGTATGTATGTATGTATGTATGTATGTATGTATGTATGTATGTATGTATGTATGTATGTATGTATGTATGTATGTATGTATGTATGTATGTATGTATGTATGTATGTATGTATGTATGTATGTATGTATGTATGTATGTATGTATGTATGTATGTATGTATGTATGTATGTATGTATGTATGTATGTATGTATGTATGTATGTATGTATGTATGTATGTATGTATGTATGTATGTATGTATGTATGTATGTATGTATGTATGTATGTATGTATGTATGTATGTATGTATGTATGTATGTATGTATGTATGTATGTATGTATGTATGTATGTATGTATGTATGTATGTATGTATGTATGTATGTATGTATGTATGTATGTATGTATGTATGTATGTATGTATGTATGTATGTATGTATGTATGTATGTATGTATGTATGTATGTATGTATGTATGTATGTATGTATGTATGTATGTATGTATGTATGTATGTATGTATGTATGTATGTATGTATGTATGTATGTATGTATGTATGTATGTATGTATGTATGTATGTATGTATGTATGTATGTATGTATATGTATGTATGTATGTATTGTATGTATGTATGTATGTATGTATGTATGTATGTATGTATGTATGTATGTATGTATGTATGTATGTATGTATGTATGTATGTATGTATGTATGTATGTATGTATGTATGTATGTATGTATGTATGTATGTATGTATGTATGTATGTATGTATGTATGTATGTATGTATGTATGTATGTATGTATGTATGTATGTATGTATGTATGTATGTATGTATGTATGTATGTATGTATGTATGTATGTATGTATGTATGTATGTATGTATGTATGTATGTATGTATGTATGTATGTATGTATGTATGTATGTATGTATGTATGTATGTATGTATGTATGTATGTATGTATGTATGTATGTATGTATGTATGTATGTATGTATGTATGTATGTATGTATGTATGTATGTATGTATGTATGTATGTATGTATGTATGTATGTATGTATGTATGTATGTATGTATGTATGTATGTATGTATGTATGTATGTATGTATGTATGTATGTATGTATGTATGTATGTATGTATGTATGTATGTATGTATGTATGTATGTATGTATGTATGTATGTATGTATGTATGTATGTATGTATGTATGTATGTATGTATGTATGTATGTATGTATGTATGTATGTATGTATGTATGTATGTATGTATGTATGTATGTATGTATGTATGTATGTATGTATGTATGTATGTATGTATGTATGTATGTATGTATGTATGTATGTATGTATGTATGTATGTATGTATGTATGTATGTATGTATGTATGTATGTATGTATGTATGTATGTATGTATGTATGTATGTATGTATGTATGTATGTATGTATGTATGTATGTATGTATGTATGTATGTATGTATGTATGTATGTATGTATGTATGTATGTATGTATGTATGTATGTATGTATGTATGTATGTATGTATGTATGTATGTATGTATGTATGTATGTATGTATGTATGTATGTATGTATGTATGTATGTATGTATGTATGTATGTATGTATGTATGTATGTATGTATGTATGTATGTATGTATGTATGTATGTATGTATGTATGTATGTATGTATGTATGTATGCATGCATGTATGTATGTATGTATGTATGTATGTGTGTGTGTGTGTGTGTGTGTGTGTGTGTGTGTGTGTGTGTGGGTGGGCGTGCAGGTAGGTAGGTAGGTAGGTAGGTATGTGGTGTTTGAACGCATATAAACTTTGTCATTATGCAGGTGCCTGTAGTAATTCCAACAGTTACAGAAGCTGCAGACGACAGCAAGGACGGTGGAGATAAAAGAAGCGACGAGAACTCTGCGGAAAATGGCGGTAAGAAGCCAATCATAGTTTTTCAAAAACTGTTTCTTAAATTTTAAGCCTTGGTGAGGAATGAATAGGGCACTAGAATCGAAAATTGCATGTGAAATGCCCTGTCTCCGCGAGGTTACTAGCCACTTAGAAAGGGTCAGGAGTTACGAATACCAACATCAGAGAGAAAGTTGGAAAAAGACCATATCTGGATCATATTGACAACAAAGAATGACAGTTTTTAGCCATCTAGTGAGATAACAAATGGTGTTGGTGAAACCTGCAAAACGATCAACAAATTCATCACCCAAGCCACCCCAGAAGCGCAAGACAAAAACAGAAAACCACAACACTGGGCTACAACCTGTTATAGTGAGAGGACGACAGAAGGAGAAGAGAAAGAAGACATGGAGAGTTGCATTTGCTGATTATGTTGATATGTAGTTGTTGTTGTTGTTGTTGTTGTTGTTGTTGTTGTTGTTTTTGCTCTAACAACGATGTGAGAGATTTTATATTTTGTTTTTGTGTTTTCATATCTAATATGGGAGACAACCAAAGCAAATTTTTGAAAATTTTGAAAACACATTTTAAAAAGGGTAATGAAAGAACTTTTTGGATATTGATTACTAGGTGCCGGTGTTTGTAAATCAGTAAGTACTTTATGGGTTACGTGGCCAACATTACGATAGTCGCCTTTGTTCTTCTCTGCCCCCTCCACCCGTGTGTTCCTACACTCATCTCTTGGGACATACAATCCTTGGTCATTGTTCACATTGTGTACTTACACTCATCTCTTGGGACATACAATCCTTGGTCATTGTTCACATTGTGTACTTACACTCATCTCTTGGGACATACAATCCTTGGTCATTGTTCACATTGTGTACTTACACTCATCTCTTGGGACATACAATCCTTGGTCATTGTTCACATTGTGCACTTACACTCATCTCTTGAGACATACAATCCTTGGTCATTGTTCACATTGTGTACTTACACTCATCTCTTGGGACATACAATCCTTGGTCATTGTTCACATTGTGCACTTACACTCATCTCTTGAGACATACAATCCTTGGTCATTGTTCACATTGTGTACTTACACTCATCTCTTGGGACATACAATCCTTGGTCATTGTTCACATTGTGTACTTACACTCATCTCTAGAGACATACAATCCTTGGTCATTGTTCACATTGTGTACTTACACTCATCTCTTGGGACATACAATCCTTGGTCATTGTTCACATTGTGTACTTACACTCATCTCTGGAGACATACAATCCTTGGTCATTGTTCACATTGTGTACTTACATTCATCTCTTGAGACATACAATCCTTGGTCATTGTTCACATTGTGTGCTTACACTCATCTCTTGGGACATACAATCCTTGGTCATTGTTCACATTGTGCACTTACACTCATCTCTTGAGACATACAATCCTTGGTCATTGTTCACATTGTGTACTTATACTCATCTCTTGGGACAAACAATCCTTGGTCATTGTTCACATTGTGTCCCTACACAAAAAAACTAATCTCTTGAGACACACAATCCTATGTCATTGTTCGCATTGTTTACTACACTCATCTCTTGAGACATACAATCCTTGGTCATTGTTCACATTGTGTACTTACACTCATCTCTTGGGACATACAATCCTTGGTCATTGTTCACATTGTGTACTTACACTTATCTCTTGGGACATACAATCCTTGGTCATTGCTTACACTGTGTACTTACACTCATCTCTGGATATTTACAATCCTTGGTCATTGCTTACACTGTGTGCTTACACTCGCCTCGCGAGACTTGCAATCCTTGGTAATTATTCCTATTGTTTGCATCACGCACAAAAAGCGAAATGGCTACCAAAGTGTCAACTGGATTAACAGGGCTGGCTGTTTCTCAACATCCGCACAAGACACTGAAAGCTTTATATAACAGGATCATTGTCCTGCTGCAGAAGATTCCACAGGAATCTGCGTATCGCAGACACACAGAGAAGATCATCAATGAGCGACTAAAGATGGTTGAGAATGAATCAGACACTGCGAAACTTGAGCGGAAGATAAACTGTGGCCAGGTAGAAGAAGTTATTAAACAGACAGAACGAGAACTGTATCTTGTCCGTAAGTTGTTGGAATGGAAACCATGGGAACCTTTGGTTGGGCAGGCCCCAGCTAATCAGTGGAAATGGCCACTCGTGTGAAGGGATTATTCAGTTATGATATAGGTTTTTGATAGTTTCTACGATGATTGTCCAGTATTTAAGAATACTTTTGTTTATGCTTGTTGAAAGAAATGTTAAAATTTCCTTCAGTAGCTAAAAGTATGTGTTGAGACATTATTTATGCTTTTAGTATGTTGAATTCATCTAAAGAATATGTAGTTCACAAATGGTTATCAGAAAGTATAATGTAATAAACACACAAAAATAAAAATAAAAAAAAAAATAAAAAATAAACGATGCGAGACTTGTTCCTCGGAATTGTGCTTCCCTGGCGTCCAGAAGTCGTAGACACACGTGTCAGAGCTTTAACTGGCCAGACAAAATGTGATTTCCATCCGAGATGCTTCGGTTAAGTGATTTCATGTATTCTTGCCCGTATGTGTGGTATTCTAAAATCGTGTAATATGCTGATGAAAGTTCTCAAGCCGCATCGTTCATTTGTCGTTTGTGTGTGTGATAATAGGAAGCTAGCGGGTTCTACTTTTCATCTCGTTCGATATCTTTTCATGACAGACAATCTTTCTTAACAGGCCCGCCAGAGAAGGATATACCATTCAAAGATCCCAGTCGATCGCAGGAGTCCATAGATTTGAACCATCCACCTCGTGAGAACTGGAGCAACAACATCCAGTTCGTTCTGACCACGGTTGGCTATGCCGTGGACCTGTCCAATGTGTGGCGTTTTCCTTTCCTGTGTTATAAGAATGGAGGTGGTAAGTGTATTATACCTCAGGTTTGACAAACACTATTCTCTTTTCGCAATCCATGTCGGTTCAAGTGCCGCCTTAACAAGCATTTTGTAAAGAACTTATACTGTATTTAAGGCTTCATTGTAATTATCAGAAGGGTAGGGTCGAAAGGCGTAGCCTAGCTGTAAACCACAACACAACCTACAACTGCTCTTTTCAATGTAAACGTAGAAGAAAGCGAAGAAGAAGAAGAAGAAGAAGAAGAAGAAGAAGAAGAAGAAGAAGAAGAAGAAGAAGAAGAAGAAGAAGAAGAAGAAGAAGAAGAAGAAGAAGAAGAAGAAGAAGAAGAAGAAGAAGAAGAAGAAGAAGAAGAAGAAGAAGAAGAAAAAGAAGAAGAAGAAGAAGAAGAAGAAGAAGAAGAAGAAGAAGAAGAAGAAGAAGAAGAAGAAGAAGAAGAAGAAGAAGAAGAAGAAGAAGAAGAAGAAGAAGAAGAAGAAGAAAAAAGAAGAAGAAAGAAAAAAAAGAAAGAAAGAAAGAAAGAAAGAAAGAAAGAAAGAAAGAAAGAAAGAAAGAAAGAAAGAAAGAAAGAAAGAAAGAAAGAAAGAAAGAAAGAAAGAAAGAAAGAAAGAAAGAAAAGAAAGAAAGAAAGAAAGAAAGAAAGAAAGAAAGAAAGAAAGAAAAAGAAAGAAAGAAAGAAAGAAAGAAAGAAAGAAAGAAAGACAGAAAGACAGAAAGACAGAAAGACAGAAGAAAGAAAGAAAGAAAGAAAGAAAGAAAGAAAGAAAGAAAAGAAAGAAAGAAAGAAAGAAAGAAAGAAAGAAAGAAAGAAAGAAAGAAAGAAAGAAAGAAAGAAAGAAAGAAAGAAAGAAAGAAAGAAAGAAAGAAAGAAAGAAAGAAAGAAAGACAGACAGAAAGACAGAAAGACAGAAAGAAAGACAGAAAGAAAGAAAGAAAGAAAGAAAGAAAGAAAGAAAGAAAGAAAGAAAGAAAGAAAGAAAGAAAGAAAGAAAGAAAGAAAGAAAGAAAGAAAGAAAGAAAGAAAGAAAGAAAGAAAGAAAGAAAGAAAGAAAGAAAGAAAGAAAGAAAGAAAGAAAGAAAGAAAGAAAGAAAGAAAGAAAGAAAGAAAGAAATAAAGAAAGAAATAAATAAAGAAAGAAAAACAGAAAGAAAGACAGAAAGACAGACAGACAGACAGACAGACAGACAGACAGACAGACAGACAGACAGACAGACAGACAGACAGACAGACAGACAGACAGACAGACAGACAGACAGACAGACAGACAGACAGACAGACAGACAGACAGACAGACAGACAGACAGACAGACAGACAGACAGACAGAGGGAAGAGGAGATTGAAAGAGTTAGTATGTGAATAACTGGGAGAATTATTGTGTGAGTTTCCATTTCAGTTAACATGAGATATCTTTATTTGAGTTAATGTGTGAAAGTCCAAAAGAGTTATAGTGTGAATGTCCAAATCAGTACTCGTGTCAACTTCCAAATTAGTTTATGTGTAAATTTGTAATGAGTTAATGTGTGCATTTCAAAATTTGTTATTGTATGAATTTCCAAATGGGTTACTGTGTGACTTTCCAAAATAGATAATGAGTGAATTTTTAAATGATGTAATGTATTCATTGCAAAATGAAGTAAAATTTCAATTTCCATATGAATTGCTGTGTGGCTTTCTAAATTATTTAATGTATGAGTATCCATATGAGTTAATGTGTGAATTGTAATATTAGTTCATATCTGAATTTCCATAAGAGTTATTGTGTGAATTTTTAGATTAGATTACGTGTGAATTTCTGTGTGAAGTATTGTATGAATTTCCACACACAAATTGTGAATTTCTAACTGTGTCAATGTGTACATCTCAACATGAGTAATTGTTTGCATTTCCAAAAGAGGTAATGTCGTAAGTTCAAAAAAGAGTTAACATTTTCATTGCCTTGAGTTGATGTGTTAAATTCCAAATAGGTTTTTTTTTTTTTTTAAACTTTCCATATCAGTTACTGGGTGAATCTCCAAATGCGTTGATGTGTGAATCTCCGAATGCGTTAAGGTGTGAATCTCCAAATGCGTTGATGTGTGAATCTCCGAATGCGTTAAGGTGTGAATACCCAAATAATTTAATGTGTAAAAATTCATTTGAGTTGTGAATTCCAAAACCAAATGAGATTGTGTGACTCACTGTACAGGTTAATTAGTGTGTGAATTGCTGTAAGTTATTTTGTGAATCGCTGTATGGGTTAATGAGCTAACTGCTGTAAGAATTAATTAGTGAATTACTCTATGAGTTAACGTGATAATCAATGTATGAGTTAATGTGTGAATCGCTGTTGCAAATTAATGTCCTAATTGCTACAGGGATTATTGTATCAATTACTATACGGGTTTTTCTAATGCCGACTTCTGTTCCAGGGGCGTTTCTCATTCCATATTTCACCACATTGATATTTGGGGCCATGCCAGTCTTCTTCATGGAAATGTGCCTGGGACAGTTCCACAGGTGTGGCCCTACCGCCATCTGGGACAAGATGTCGCCCATGTTTAAAGGTGAACTCGTGTGTGGTTACTTGTAGCTGCTGGTCGGGCTTGTGCAGATGTGGGCTTCTCTAGCTAGGCGGGGGGCGGTGGAGGTGCTCATACACATTCAGCCCCCTCTCTAGAGTGACCGTAATCTTAAGATACATCAGCGACAGGGTCGTTAATTGGCTGGCCGGTAGACGACCTTGTCGCTTGTGGGGACAGTATTTGGGTCTGTCTTCTTTGATCGCGTCAACACTTCAGGAGTTTTTTTCAGGGCTACTTGTTGGCGAGCACAGCTAAACCACTTAATATAGCGCATTAAATCTAGTCACAATTATAACCAAAAGCGTCCCACCCTGGGAGGATGCTGGGTGCAAGTGACGATTTTTTTTCTCGCAAAGCAAGTCGTCATTCTAAGATGTAAACAGGACATCCCCAAAAATGTCAGTTCACCCCTATCCCCTCGCCGCCCCCCCCCCCTCCCCGCCCCCCCCCTCTTTCCTCGGGGCAACAAAGAAAATTCGAGCATGTATTATTATTTAATTATAATAATATTATTATTACTATTCTTATTGTTGTTTTTAGTATCGTTAGGAGACTAATATCTTTTAAGAACATGGGATTTTATAGGCCTGTAAATTGTATAAGCTATACTAATTAATTAACATTGAAACTGGTTTCTATAGTTGCATTTGACTGCATGCCTTGTTTCTTTTGGTACCACAAATATTGCGTACAGATCTACGCATGTTCCCTTTCAGTTTATACACATGTAGATAACTATAAGTGTTTGTTCTATTCTCGAGTTTTTTTTTTCCTAGATTTGTTTACAACGGGGCAATGTGTGGTGTTTGGTAGTACCAACGGGACGGCCCGGACACACCGGGAAAACAAGACTGCTCCGGTGAAAAGTGGACGTTTGGTCCAGGGGATTCCAAGTGTTTTTGTTTTGGGGCAATAGGGAAAGGGCGAGGGGGCATTTTGCAACTAAGCTAAGTGTCCTCGCCTTCAACTATGTATATACTTTTTTTGTTGTAAATATCCGCACACAATAATAATAATAATAATAATAATAGCACAGTGTCCATCAAGAAGAAGTCTTGAAAGGAATTGACTCACGAAGAGATCCGAAAGCTCACATTAAAAGGTCATAATCTACATTCCTTAGTCATGTCATGAGAAGGACACAGCTGGAGTGCATCGTGACGGTGGGAAAGTCGGATGGAGGAAAGGGCAGAGAGAGAGACAGAGAGAGACAGAAAGAGACAGAGAGAGACAGAGAAAGAGAGACAGAGAGACAGATCGACAGAGAAAGAGAGAGACAGAGAGACAGAGAAAGAGAGAGACAAGGAGACAGAGAAAGAGAGACAGAGAGAGAGACAGAGAAAGAGAGAGAGAGAGAGAAAGAGAGACAGAGAAAGAGAGACAGAGAAAGAGAGACACAGAGAGAGAGAGAGAGAGAGAGAGAGAGAGAGAGAGAGAGAGAAAGAGAGAGTGAGAGAGAGACAGATAGACAGATAAAGAGAGAGACAGAGAAAGAGAGAGAGACAGAGAGAGACAGAGAAAGAGAGAGACAGAGAAAAAGAGACAGAGAGACAGAGAAAGAGAGAGACAGAAAGAGAGAGACAGAGAGACAGAGAAAGAGACAGAGAAAGAGACAGACAGAGAAAGAGAGAGAGAGAAAGAGACAGAGAAAGAGAGAGAGACAGAGAAAGAGACAGAGAGAAAGAGACAGAGAAAGAGAGAGAGAGAAAGAGACAGAGAAAGAGACAAAGAGAGAGAGAAAGAGAGAGAGACAGAGAAAGAGAGAGACAGAGAAAGAGAGAGACAGAGAAAGAGAGAGAGACAGAGAAAGAGAGACAGAGACAGAGAAAGAGAGAGACAGAGAGAGAGACAGAGAGAGAGACAGAGAAAAAGACAGAGAAAGAGAGAGAGAGAGAGAGAGAGAGAGAGAGAGGGAGAGAGAGAGACCAAGACATAATATGCTGGAACGCTGACAGCATGGAATAGATCACCTGTATCATAACTGATTGAAAGTACACGAGACAGAAGGTTGTGGGTTATGGATGACTACCAACGACACAAGGCATTGGCCACGAGAGATTCCAGTTCCAACTCCGTTTAGGAGAAAATCACAAACTCAAACACGTTCAGCCTGCTGCTAGCTAGCCAAAGCTGCCTAAAGTATTCGGCTATATTTGTGGTCTTATTTAATTGCGCCACTTTCGTGGCTAAAGTTCCGATATCTGTACCGTCTCTGGACTTAATGCTTCTTTCTTCTATGTCAGACCGCTCATTTCCTATCCTGTTGTCAACTGTGTTATTTTTGTCCTTTCATTTCTGATGTTTGCTCCTTGGTTTCAGCTCCTTCTGATTTGGCCAGGGCGAATTTCGTAGGAGAGCGAGCTCCTCCACACAAGGTCCTTTGGACCAAAATTTATAGTCCCCCGAAGAATCATCTGTGTGAGAATTTATTCTTCTTCTTCTTCGCGGTCACCAGCTGTAAACTCTGGCGGAAAGTTCTGGTTGTTCATCCACTTCTGGACTGCAGTCTCGTTCCAAAACTTGAGTGTTGCGTGTGCATCCATTTTACAGATGACTCATTTGTGTGACTGCTGGTTCCTTGCCTCTCAGGCAGATGCACTCCGACTTCGAAGGAAGCTCCCAATTAGTCGACTCTTACGACATGCTTTTGGGTACGCAGTGGTTCTATTCTTGTTTTCCCTATAATAGGGCCCCGGAATCCACACAGGGATGAGAATTTATTGAAAGTGTGCGAGCTTGCGGATTTTGACTGACTATCAGTGTCATATACTAGTAAAGTAAAGGACCCATTTCCCGTATTGGGTATATAGGGCTAGACCTATATTTTATAGACCAGACGGCACTTGGTGGGTGATGTGGTCAGCATTGCGTCGGCGGGGTTTACTTCCCAGGACTTACCTGGTACCCATTTAAAGTTGGGTCGACCTGGGAACAAAGGTCATTTCTGAGAAGAAGAAAAATCTGGCCCTCGTCAGTTACCAAACCTACGACCTTCCGACTCGCAGCCGAGCGGCTCTCAGTGCCACATACGGCATTTGAAAATAAGAAGTTATCCGTCTCACAGGGTATGATAGATGTCACTTGTTTCAGCACGTGTCTTACAATATAAAGTACAACAGTTATCGGGTGGTTTGCCTTGCAGTGTACTATTGATATTGTCCCGTCCAGTGGCCAATGACTGTGCGTTGTGCCGATGTAGTCACGTAATGTGACCAGTGACTGTGTCTTATATCGATATGGTCACGCCCAGTGACCAGTGACTGTGTGTTGTGCCGATGGGATCACGTCCAGTGACCAATGACTGTGTGATGTGCCAATGTGGTTACGCCCAGTCATTAATGACTGTGTGTTGTGCCAATGTGGTTACGCCCAGTTATTAATGACTGTGTGTTGTGCCGATGTGGTCACGCCCAGTTATTAATGACTGTGTGTTGTGTCGATGTGGTCACGTCCAGTGACCAATGACTGTCCGTTGTGCCTATGTGGTCACGTCCAGTGACCAATGACTGTGTGTTGTGCCGATGTGGTCACGCCCAGTGACCAATGATTGTGTGTTGTGTCGATGTGGTCACGTCCAGTGACCAATGACTGTCCGTTGTGCCTATGTGGTCACGCCCAGTGACCAATGACTGTGTGTTGTGCCTATGTGGTCACGCCCAGTGACCAATGACTGTGTGTTGTGCCGATGTGGTCACGCCCAGTGACCAATGATTGTGTGTTGTGCCGATGTGGTCACGCCCAGTGATTAATGACTGTGTGTTGTGTCAATGTGATCACGCCCAGTGATTAATGACTGTGTGTTGTGTCAATGTGATCACGTCCAGTGATTAATGACTGTGTGTTGTGTCAATGTGATCACGCCCAGTGATTAATGACTGTGTGTTGTGTCAATGTGATCACGCCCAGTGATTAATGACTGTGTGTTGTGTCAATGTGATCACGCCCAGTGATTAATGACTGTGTTGTGTCAATGTGATCACGCCCAGTGATTAATGACTGTGTGTTGTGTCAATGTGATCACGTCCAGTGATTAATGACTGTGTGTTGTGTCAATGTGGTCACGCCCAGTGATTAATGACTGTTTGTTGTGCCGATGTGGTCACGCCCAGTGACCAATGACTGTGTGTTGTGCCGATGTGGTCAGACCCAGTGACCAATGACTGTGTGTTGTTGCGATAGGGTCACGCCCACTGACCAATGACTGCGTGTTGTACAGGTATCGGGATGGCCTCCTGTTTCATGTCGTACGTCGTTGGATTCTACTACAACGTCATCATTGCCTGGAGCTTCTTCTACCTCTTCGCCTCGTTCACAACCAAGCTGCCATGGACAACATGCTTCAACAACTTCAACAGTGACAATTGCTGGCAGCTGGACTGGGATACCAACACCAGCTCTGCCCTGCCTGCCCAGGAGGAAGGCGTCCTGGCGATCTCTCAAGTGGCTGCCAACAGACCGCCTGCCAACAGAACTTACAACGTCTCCGTGTCGGTGTCTGCCAGCGTGGAGTACTTTGAGTAAGTATTGGCAACTTTGATACTTCTTAATTCAATTCAAGGCTTTTTTGGCGGTACACGGTAGCGCACTTTTTTCAGGCCTAATTTATTCAGTGCTAGTGTAATGGACACTTTGTGTTAAATACTGCAGCCATGGTTTTTTTTTTTTTTTTTTTTGTGGAACCCCTTATTGTGAGCAAGTAAAAAATTTGAAGGTAAAGTAAAAGACACTTATCCACACCTTCAAGCGTATTGTGCATGTATGGCTAGACCTATATTCTTCTTCTTCTTCTTCTTCTCGGTCACCAGCTGTAAACTCTGGAGGAAAGTTCTGGTTTTTCATCCATTTCTGGACTGCAGTCCTATTCCAAAACCTGGGTGTTGCGCGTGCATCCGTTTTACAGATCTGACTCATTTGTGTGCAGACTGCTGGTTCCTTGCCTCTCAGGCAGAGGCACTCCGACTTCGAAGGAAGCTCCCAATTAGTCGACTCTTACGGGCCCCGGAACCCACACAGGGCAGACCTATATTTTATTATACCCATTCAAGACTGGGTCAGCATAGAAGCCGATTTCATTTTTGAAAACAATCCAGGTTTCTATTTGGATGATTTCCCAGAGTAGGTTCAATGACGGGGGAGGAGGGGGGAGTAGACACACTGTCCCCTAAAATGCGTGTCGTAGAAGTCGACTAAACAGCGGCAATGAATCTGCAGTGTGCATATAAAAAAAAGGCCAAATGTGTTAATTAATTGTGCACGCAAAACTGAAGTTCTGAACAATACTTAAGTCCAGAAGTGGACGAACAACAAAAACTTGCTGTTAGAGTTGACAGCGAGTGAACGCCAAGAAGAAGAAAAGCTATACTATAATAATGCCGCTGTTGACACATAAGGCATTCACGTGTGATCTATACTTCTGCCTATCTGCTGATTCTCTGCACAAACACCAAGTGAAGACATGCACAAGTAACAACAGGGTGGAGGACGAGCGGTCTGGTTCGGATGGAAGCATCAAGCCCATAAAGGGCACAAACACTAAAACTCAGTCACGAAAGTGACGCAAATAACCCAGACCACAAATATAGGCGGAGACTGCTAGCAGCCTCGGCTAGCTAGCAGCAGTCTGAACGTGGTCGAGCTTTTCTTTCTTTTTCTTTCTCAAAAGGACTTGGACTTGGACTTCTCTGCACACAGGATCTCGTGTCAGTTTACAATTGCTCATTTCCCTTGCTGCTGTCCTTCTCAGTGTTTTCTTATCATGAAAAAATATGAAAACAAACGAAAAGTAGTGTTAGTCAGCTTTGAATTCTCACAGTCATAAACGACAAATAAACATTTCTGCTAGAAAGCTTTCATCAGCACAATATTACACGAATAGACAATGTAATAATTACGAAAAAGAAAACACAAAAATCACTTAACTGAGGTATTTCCGATAGAATTGTCTATGTCTGGCCAGTTGAAGCTCTACTGTGTGTGTGTTCCTTAGATCGTCTCTATCTCCTATTTTCGTCTGCTGTCCACCGGACGATAGCTTTCCGATGGACTGCTTGACTACGTCCTCTTCAAGTTGGTTTCACTTAAAGGTCCAGTGGCTCTTACCCATGTTGCGTAATCTATGTTGCGAACTGCATCCATATTTTTTTTTCCTAATTATTGTCCATGCCACCTAGTGTTTGTTGTCGTGCAGATTTTCAGCTGTCTGCTCAGTGTGCAACTACTCACGGTTGATGTGAGTACATGTTTTTCTTATATATTGCTACATTTTTTTGGCGGGTCTGTATTTACATGTTATGTAGTGTGCTATTTTGTTGTTTGATGTTACTTGTTCTCTTGTCTGCTGTCACATGTTTTAATTGTTATACCCACATGCTATGTTGTCTGTTAGTTTATGTTACGTTGTTTGATATTATATGTTGATGTGTCTGCTGTTACATGCTTTCTTGTTTTTTGTTACATGTTCTCTCGTCTGTTGTTGCATGTTCTCTTGTCTCTTGTTGCATGTTCCCTTGCCTGTTGTTACATGTTCTCTTGTATGTTGTTACGTATTCTCTTTCCGGTGGTTGCATATTCTCCTCTGTTGTTACATATTCTTCTCTGTTGTTACATGTTTTATTGACTGCTGTGACATATTCTCTTGTCTGTGGGTCACTCGCCAGGCGGGGCATGCTGGAGCTCCAACACAGTCAGGGGCTGGATGACCTAGGAGTGGTCAAATGGCAGCTGGCTCTGTATACCTTGCTAACATTCATCCTCCTCTATTTCTGTCTATGGAAGGGCGTCAAGAGCACAGGCAAGGTAGGATTTCAACAGCTGATTGGTTGAATGGCAAACTTGGTTATTCATTGATTGGTTGATTCATTTGGTACATGAATGGTTAATTCGTGTTTTGATTAGTTGGCTGTCTTATTAAGATATTGGGTGGTTAATTTATATTAAAATTGATTTACTTTTGTTAATTGGTGAACTGTTTATTAACTGATTTGTTGTAGTGTCTTTGTGTGTGTGTGTGTGTGTGTATGTATATGTGTGTGATTTATCTCTCTGAGAATGTAACTGATTCATTGAACATTCTCCCCTTGTGGGTTCCGGGGCCTCATTGTGAGGAAAACAAGAATAGACCCACCGTCTGTCCAAAAGCATGTCGTAAGAGTCGACTAATTGGAAGCTTCCTTTATAGTCGGAGCACATCTGCCTGAGAGGCAAGGAGCCAACAGTCTGCATGCAAATGAGTCAGACCTGTGAAACGGATGTGCACGCGACACTCACTTTCTGTAACAGGACTCGAGTCCAGAAGTGGACTAACAACCAGAACTTTCTACCGGAGTTTACAGCCGGTGAACGCAAAGAAGAAGAAAATGGAAGAAGAATCGCTGTGTATCAATCAGAGCTGAACCGTAACCAGGTTACATTCCCAGCATGCCTTCTTTGTAGAAATAGTGATCCAGTACCGGTACTGCGTACCCCGCTGGCACCAAGTGAGGTGAAGGAAAGTGAAGCTCTCCAACTCTCCAACTCTCCAACTCTCCAACCACAGTACTCGTGTATAGGGATTTCATTGCTGGGTAGGAAAGGAAATCTCGACTTCAAAAAGAAGTCCTGAAAGAATCAAAATCCAGCACAGTTTCTTCTTCTTCTTCTTCTTCCTCTTTTGCTTCTCCTCTTCTTCTTCTTCATCTTCTTCTGCCTTTCTAACCCCCCGTGGAGCATAGGCCCTCAACTAACTCACGCCAAGTCGTTCTATCCTTTGCTGTCGCATACAGGTCTTTCCATGTCCTCCCCTCCTTTTAACTTTACTCTCGAGCTCCCTTCTCCATATGTGAGTGTGTGAGAGTGTGTGTGTGTGTGTGTGTTGTCTTTCTTTATCTCTATGCCCCTGTGGGTTCCAGTGCAAAGATTATATTATTACCTCACCTGATATTGTTCTCTAATCCATATTCAATCAATCGACAGGTGGTCTATGTGACAGCCACGCTTCCCTACCTCATCATGACCATTCTGTTAATAAGGGGCGTGTTACTCCCGGGGGCAGGGGAAGGCATTCGCTACTTCTTCACACCAAAGATCGACAGTTTACAGAGGCCAAAGGTCAGTCGTTTGTTTTACTGAGGTACTGATAGGGGTTTGTTTAGTGGTCCTGTTATCTAAAATACTGATAGCGGTTTGGGTATATGCAACGAACTCAGGCCCAGCTCCTCCCATCTACAACTTACGGTTGACGGAGTCAAGCGAGGACACTTTGATTGAACGTTCCGTGTCCGCCTTCACCTGTGAGATGCGAAAGTGTAAGTGGCAGGGACGTTAGCTTGGTCGACGCTCCTACCGGCGACCACGCGTGCTCTACATTTCAGGATGTGAGCGTTTTAACGACCCCATAACGTGTACAGCGGCCCTGGGAACGCCTAACAGTTACACTACAGTGGACCCTACTTCTGTTATAATGAGAATATAAATCTCGACAATCATTCTCGATGACACTGTATTATGTTGACCAGCCGGTTTTTGACCAGCCGGTTTTTGACCAGCCGGTTGTTGACCAGCCGGTTGTTGACCAGCTGGCTGTTGAATTTTCGAAGTGTTAACTGAGTTAGGGGCTGCTTGTTACCTGGAAAAGGGGGAGAGTGAAATTAAACAATGCTGTCAAACTGGAAAATGTGATTTTAATGAAGAAGATTTGCAGGTGGCATATCGATGAGGGTGAGGGGACACGTGAAGGGGTTGTATGTTTAGTTGGCAAATGTGCAGCTAACAAGGTAAGTCGACAAGCACACAGAGAGACAGATAAACAGACAGACAGACAAAATACTTGCGGTCAGGGGCTTGAGTGGGTGGTTAAAATTGGCGATTATGTGGATGAATAGGTGGTTAGATTGATAGATGGATGAATGGAAAGATAGATGGATGGATGGTTAGGTGAATGGATGTGTAGATGGTTTGACGGATGGGTAGTTGGATGGATGGACATAAGTGTGGTTAGATGGGTGGATGGTTTGCGAGATAGAAGAGTTGTTAAAGGGATGGATAGATTGGTTGGTAGATGGAAGATGGGATGGGTAGTTAGACTGATGGAAATTGGATGAATAGTTGGATGGATGGATGAATGAATAGATGGGCGGATGGATGGATAAATGAAAGGATAGCAGCTGGTAGGACGGATTGATGTGTGGTTAGATGGGTCGATGGGTGGTTAATTGGATGAATGGGTGGATGAATAAATGGATGGTTTGATGTGTAGTTAAGTGGACGGATAAGTTGGTAGTTAGATGAATGGATGGTTGGCTAGATGGGTGGTTATGAGCCATCCTTAATTAGAGGGATGAATCGATGGATGGATGAGTGGATGGTTTAAAGAATGGATTGATGGGTTGGTGGTCGGATGGATGAATGGATGGTTAGTTGGGTGGTTAGATTGATGAAATCAATAAATCATTAACGAATATGTTTCTGCTGCTCAGGTGTGGATCGACGCGGCTGTGCAGATTTTCTTTTCCATCGGCACCGGCTTCGGAACACATATCACCTTTTCCAGCTACAATAAGTTCCACAGTAATTGTAAACGGTGAGTCCACGTGAGGAAAGGGGTGGGGGGGGGGGGTAAAGTAATGTTTCTGGTTGTTTCTTACATGAGTTAGCGTTTCTAAGTTCTTCTGGTTGACTGGGTCGTGAGTCAGTATTTGTAACTGTTTTTTTGTGTATGTATTTGGAACCTTTTCTTGTTGTTTGTGTCGTGAGTCAGCATTTTACCGTTTCTGAATGTTTGTGTTTTGAGTCAGTATTTGTAACAGTTTCTTGTTGTTTGTGTCTTGAGTCAGTATTTTACCGTTTCTGAATGTTTGTGTTTTGAGTCAGTATTTGTAACAGTTTCTGGTTGTTTGTGTCGGGAGTCAGTATTTGTAACTGTTTCTTGTTGTTTGTGTCTTGAGTCAGTATTTGTAACATTTTCTTGTTGTTTGTGTCTTAAGTCAGTATTTGTAACATTTTCACGGGGTCGCCAAAGACCATTGAAAAACACATATTCACTAAAGTTATGAAGTAGCAACGGAAAACAATTGTATGGTTGGGGATCGCCACAACATAAGGAACTGTATTAAAGGGTCGCCGCATTAAACAGGTTGAGAACCCCTGGTGTAAGTGCTCCTCATGGTGAAGGTTGCTGGTGATTCAGTTATAACAGCGATGCTAGTGTTCTGACTGAAACGATGATATAGGTGCTCTGTCAGGGTGACATATATAGGTGCTCTGTCAGGGTGACAGATATAGGTGTTCTGTCAGGGTGACATATATAGGTGCTCTGTCAGGGTGACAGATATAGGTGTTCTGTCAGGGTGACAGATATAGGTGCTCTGTCAGGGTGACAGATATAGGTGTTCTGTCAGGGTGACAGATAAAGGTGCTCTGTCAGGGTGACATATATAGGTGCTCTGTCAGGGTGACATATATAGGTGCTCTGTCAGGGTGACATATATAGGTGCTCTGTCAGGGAGACATATATAGGTGCTCTGGCAGGGTGACATATATAGGTGCTCTGTCAGGGTGACAGATATAGGTGCTCTGTCAGGGTGGCAGATATAGGTGCTCTGTCAGGGTGACAGATATAGGTGCTCTGTCAGAGTGTCATATATAGGTGCTCTGTCAGGGTGACATATATAGGTGCTCTGTCAGGGTGACATATATAGGTGCTCTGTCAGGGTGACAGATATAGGTGCTCTGTCAGGGTGACATATATAGGTGCTCTGTCAGGGTGACAGACATAGGTGTTCTGTCAGGGTGACATATATAGGTGCTCTGTCAGGGTAACAGATATAGGTGCTCTGTCAGGGTGACAGATATAGGTGTTCTGTCAGGGTGACAGATATAGGTGCTCTGTCAGGGTGACAGATATAGGTGCTCTGTCAGGGTGACAGATATAGGTGCTCTGTCGGGGTGACAGATATAGGTGCTCTGTCAGGGTGGCAGATATAGGTGCTTTGTCAGGGTGACAGATATAGGTGCTCTGTCAGGAGGACAGATATAGGTGCTCTGACAGGGTGACAGATATGGGTGCTCTGTCAGGGTGACAGATATAGGTTATCTGTCGGGGGGGGGGGGGGAAGGGCGGATATAGGAGCTCCGTCAGGGTGACCGATATAGGTGCTTTGTCAGGGTGACAGATACAGGTGCTCTGTCAGGGTGACAGATATAGGTGCTCTGTCAGGGTGACAGATGCAGGTGCTCTGTCAGGGTGACAGATATAGGTGCTCTGACAGGGTGACATATAGGTGCTCTGTCGGGGGTGGTGGCAGATATAGGAGCTTCGTCAGGGTGACAGATATAGGTGCTCTGTCAGGGTGACAGATACAGGTGCTCTGTCAGGGTGACAGATATAGGTGCTCTGTCAGGGTGACAGATACAGGTGCTCTGTCAGGGTGACATTTATAGGTGCTCTGACTGGGTGACAGATATAGGTGCTCTGTCAGGGGGACAGATATAGGTGCTTTGTCAGGGGGGGGGGCGGATATAGGAGCTCCGTCAGGGTGACAGATACAGGTGCTCTGTCAGGGTGACAGATATAGGTGCTCTGACAGGGTGACAGATATAGGTCCTCTCCCAGGGTGACAGATATAAGTGCTCTGACAGGGTGACAGATAAAGGTGCTATGTCAGAGTGACAGATATAGGTGCTCTGTCAGGGTGACAGATATAGGTGCTCTGTCAGGGTGAAAGATATGGGTGCTCTGTCATGGTGACAGATATAGGTGCTCCTTCAAGGTGACAGATATAGGTGCTCTGTCAGGGTGACAGATATAGGTGCTCTGTCAGGGTGACAGATATGGGTGTTCTGTCAGGGTGACAGATATAGGTGCTCTGTCAGGGTGACAGATATAGGTGCTCTGTCAGAGTGACAGATATAGGTGCTCTGTCAGGGTAACAGATATAGGTGCTCTGTCAGGGTGACAGATATAAGTGCTCTGACAGGGTGACAGATACAGGTGCTCCTCAGTGTGACAGATATAGGTGCTCTGTCATTGTGACAGATATAGCTGCTCTGTCAGGGTGACAGATATAGGTGCTCTGACAGAGTGACAGATATAGGTGCTCTGACAGGGAGACAGATATAGGTGGTCTGTCAGGGTGACAGATATAGGTGCTCTGTCAGGGTGACAGATATAGGTGCTTTGTCAGAGTGGCAGATATAGGTGCTCTGTCAGGGTGACAGATATAGGTGCTCTGTCAGGGTGACAGATACAGGTTCTCTGTCAGGGTGACAGATATAGGTGCTCTGTCAGGGTGACAGATACAGGTGCTCTGTCAGGGTGACAGATATAGGTGCTCTGTCGGGGTGACAGATATAGGTGCTCTGTCAGGGGGACAGATATAGGTGCTCTGTCAGGGGGGGGGGCAGATATAGGAGCTCCGTCAGGGTGACAAATATAAGTGCTCCCACATGGTGACAGATATAGGTGCTCTGACACGGTGACAGATATAGGTGCTCTGACAGGGTGACAGATATAGGTGCTCTCCCAGGGTGACAGATATAAGTGCTCTGACAGGGTGACAGATATAAGTGCTCTGACTGGGTGACAGATATAAGTGCTCTGACTGAGTGACAGATATAGGTGCTCTGACTGGGTGACAGATATGAGTGCTCTGACATGGTGACAGATATAGGTGCTCTGTCAGGGTGACAGATATAGGTGCTCTGTCAGAGTGGCAGATATAGGTGCTCTGTCAGGGTGACAGATATAGTTGCTCTGTCAGGGTGACAGATACAGGTGCTCTGTCAGGATGACAGACATAGGTGCTCTGTCAGGGTGACAGATATAGGTGCCCTGATAGGGTGACAGATATATGTGCTCTGATAGGGTGACAGATATAGGTGCCCTGAGAGCGTGACAGATGTAGATGCTCTGTCAGGGTGAGAGATATATGTTCTCTGATAGGGTGACAGATGTAGATGCTCTGTCAGGGTGAGAGATATATGTTCTCTGACAGGGTGACAGATATAGGTGCCCTGATAGGATGACAGATGTAGATGCTCTGTCAGGGTGAGAAATATATGTTCTCTGACAGGGTGACAGATATAGGTGCCCTGATAGGGTGACAGATGTAGATGCTCTGTCAGGGTGACAGATATAGGTGCTCTGAAAGTGTGACAGATATAGGTGCTCTGACAGGGTGACAGATATAGGTGCCCTGATAGGGTGACAGATATAGGTGCTCTGTTAGGGTGACAGATATAGGTGCTCTGTTAGGGTGACAGATATAGGTGCTCTGTTAGGGGGACAGATATAGGTGCCCTGACAGGGTGACAGATATAGGTGCCCTGATAGGGTGACAGATATAGGTGCTCTGTTAGGGTGACAGATATAGGTGCTCTGTTAGGGTGACAGATATAGGTGCTCTGTTAGGGTGACAGATATAAGTGCTCTGTTAGGGTGACAGATATAGGTGCTCTGTTAGGGTGACAGATATAGGTGCTCTGTTAGGGTGACAGATATAGGTGCTCTGTTAGGGTGACAGATATAGGTGCTCTGTTAGGGTGACAGACATAGGTGCTCTGTTAGGGTGACAGATATAGGTGCTCTGTTAGGGTGACAGATATAGGTGCTCTGTTAGGGTGACAGATATAGGTGCTCTGTTAGGGTGACAGATATAGGTGCTCTGTTAGGGTGACAGATATAGGTGCTCTGGTAGGGTGACAGATATAGGTGCTCTGTTAGGGTGACAGATATAGGTGCTCTGTTAGGGTGACAGATATAGGTGCTCTGTTAGGGTGACAGATATAGGTGCCCTGACAGTGTGACAGATATAGGTGCCCTGATAGGGTGACAGATATAGGTGCTCTTTTAGGGTGACAGATATAGGTGCTCTGTTAGGGTGACAGATATAGGTTCCCTGTTAGGGTGACAGATATAGGTGCTCTGTCGGGGTTACAGATGTAGATGCTCTGTCAGGGTGACAGATATAGGTGCTCTGGCAAGGTGATAGATATAAGTGCTCTGTCAGGGTGGCAAATATAGGTGCTGTGACATATTTAGTAGGTGTTCTGGATGAAAGATACAGGTGCCCTGACAAGGTGAAAGATGTAAGTGCTGTAAGAAAATGGATGAATGTTAAATGTGCTCTCGCAGAATTACGGATATGAATTTTCTCATTGTCTCCCTGATTATGTCCCCAGCGATTGTATAGTGACTATAGCAGTCAATTCGTTCACTAGTATATTCAGTGGCATGGTGATCTTCTCTTACCTGGGCTACATGTCCCTGAGGACACAGAAAGACATCGACAAAGTGGCCACGGAGGGTAGGTCAAGACTAAATTTGTCTTTCAACTGCGTTATTGATTGAATTGTGTAAAATTCAATTAATGTTAAAATCGTGTCTACATATCTTTCTTCACTAACCCGGCATTGGCATTGCATTGGACGTAATTTTTTGTTATTTGAAGCCCCACTCTGGCTTTTGCCAGGGGCCGCAATATAGGCAGGCCATAAAAATGGCCAAATGTCTGAACGCGGTTTCTGGGACCTCTCCACGGTGATCCTCATCCACATGGTGGTACGTTGTGTCATCGGGTGTTTATCGCTTGTGTGATGTCTTAGTGGGGTAGAAAGTCACTCACTCACTCACTCATTAAAAGGGTTTCCATGACTAAGTGGTCAAGCCGTTTGCCTCACGATCTGAAGGTCGTGGCTTCGCTCCCCGGCGGCGCCCTTCAGTTCGCGAGTGCAGTTTTTATGAATATCCCTGTGGATCGTAGCCGGAGTTACGGAGTTCGTGTAGTGTGCGATGCTCAAGGCAAGCGGTTAGCCGTTCTGTGGAGAGAGATCAAGCTAAATGCGATTTGGGGAAAAAAACCGTGCAATAAAGTCGATCCTTTCGACTTTAACCCTTTTTTTAATCATTATTCTGTAGCATGTGCTTGGCAACACCTTGTTTAATGTTACTGAACAGACTTCCTCTTTAGTCTTCATTGCTCTTGTCTCATCGACCTGGACAGCCTCTGGATCTCTTGCCAGCTCCATCGACGGATTTAGGCAGTGTCATTTTCTAGGCGTTTTTGCTGCCCTGTGTTCGCGGTGCAGGACGCGTCCCTGGTTCGTCTCGGGTCCTACATACTTGTCCGTTCTAATTCTGCCGCGTCCTGTCTACATACTTGGCTGTTCCAAGTCTCTGCCTCGTCCTGCCTACATACTTGGCTGTTCCAAGTCTCTACCTCGTCCTGTCTACATACTTGGCTGTTCCAAGTCTCTACCTCGTCCTGTCTACATACTTGGCTGTTCCAAGTCTCTGCCTCGTCCTGTCTACATAACTGTCCTTTTTAAGTCTCTACCTCGTCCTGCCTACATACTTCTCTGTTCCAAGTCTCTACCTCGTCCTGCCTACAAACTTGTCCCTTCCAAGACTCTACCTCGTCCTGTCTACATAACTGTCCTTTCCAAGTCTCTACCTCGTCCTGCCTACATACTTGTCCCTTCCAAGACTCTACCTCGTCCTGCCTACATACTTGTCCCTTCCAAGTCTCTACCTAGTCCTGTCTACATATTTGTCTGTTCCAAGTCTCTACCTCGTCCTGTCTACATACTTGTCCTTTCCAAGTCTATACCTCGTCCTGCCTACATAACTGTCCTTTTTAAGTCTCTACCTCGTCCTGTCTACATAACTATCCTATTTAAGTCTCTACCTCGTCCTGTCTACATACTTGTCCTTTCCAAGTCTATACCTCGTCCTGCCTACATAACTATCCTATTTAAGTCTCTACCTCGTCCTGTCTACATAACTATCCTATTTAAGTCTCTACCTCGTCCTGCCTACATACTTGTCCTTTCCAAGACTGTACCTCGTCCTGCCTACATAACTGTCCCTTTTAAGTCTCTACTTCGTCCTGCCTACATACTTGTCCCTTTCAAGTCTCTACCTCGTCCTGCCTACATATTTGTCCCTTCCAAGTCTCTACCTCGTCCCGCCTACATATTTGTCTGTTCCAAGTCTCTACCTCGTCCTGCCTACATACTTGTCCCTTCAAAGTCTCTACCTCGTCCTGCCTACATAACTGTCCTTTTTAAGTCTCTACCTCGTCCTGTCTACATACTTGTCCCTTCCAAGTCTCTACCTCGTCCTGCCTACATAACTGTCCTTTTTAAGTCTCTACCTCGTCCTGCCTACATAACTGTCCTTTTTAAGTCTCTATCTCGTCCTGCCTACGTACTTGTCCCTTCCAAGTCTCTGCCTCGTTCTGCCTACATAACTGTCCGTCCCAAGTCTCAGCCTCGTCCTGTGTGCGTTTTTGTCTCGCAAAGTGCCTTGCCTCGCACGGTGCCTTGCCTCGCACGGTGCCTTGCCTAGCACGGTGCCTTTCCTCGCACGGTGCCTTGCCTCGCATGGTGCCTTGCCTCGCACGGTGTCTTGCCTTGCACGGTGCCTTGCCTCGCACGGTGCCTTGCCTCGCACGGTGCCTTGCCTCGCACGGTGCCTTGCCTCGTAACAGACTAGAGGAACCAACTGTCAATGTACTATAATGTGGCCAGCTTCGCCTATATCAAAAACATGAGGGGGGAAACGGGTCTGTAAAACAAGGGTAGGTAGACGCATTGTTGAGGGGAAAGCGAGGCATGGTCTAGCAAACAAGAAGGCATTGGTGTGATCTGAGAATAATATATGAGATTTGGATGTGGGCCGTAAAAAACGGATGAAGTAAAGATGAGGCGAAGTTAGAAGGGAGGGTGTAATCTAGAAAGTATTGTGTGTGTGTTTTTTTTAACAGGTAGTTGTGTATCCCTTTATGCCTTGGTCGTTTATGAGAGGGAATCCTGATATACCTGCCAAAACAGCTCTCACATGGATACCAGAGGGAAAGAGAAAAAGTGGACGCCTAAAAACAACATGGAGACGAACGATGGAGAGTGACCTGAATGCGGCATCTTTGACATGGAAAACTGCACTGAAGATTGCACAGGACATGAAAGCATGGAAAGTCCTCTCTCAAGCCTCATGTGCCACTAGGCATAAAGAGAATCGATGATGTGCATCCTTTACAGGACATTGCAGTACCAATCCCAGAATTTATTGGCTATTTGCTTTAACTAGGCTATTTTATGTTCATTATTTGGCTATTGCTGTATCATCGGCTAGCTAGCAATACCATTGGGTGAGAGAGAAAAGGCGTGGTCTATGAAACAGTCAGAGAGGGGCGTGGTTTAGCAATAAAGCAGGAAACAAGGGCGTGGTCTGAAATTTAGGGATAGGTAATAGTGTGGTCTGGAAAGTAGGGATATGTAATAGTGTGGTCTGGAAAGTAGGGATAGGTAATAGTGTGGTCTGGAAAGTAGGGATAGGTAATAGTGTGGTCTGGAAAGTAGGGATAGGTAATAGTTTGGTCTGGAAAGTAGGGATAGGTAATAGTGTGGTCTGGAAAGTAGGGATAGGTAATAGTGTGGTCTGGAAAGTAGGGATAGGTAATAGTGTGGTCTGGAAAGTAGGGATTGGTAATGGTGTGGTCTGGAAAGTAGGGATAGATAATAGTGTGGTCTGGAAAGTAGGGATAGGTAATAGTGTGGTCTGGAAAGTAGAGATAGGTAATAGTTTGGTCTGGAAAGTAGGGATGTGTAATAGTGTGGCCTGGAAAGTAGGGATAGGTAATAGTGTGGTCTGGAAAGTAGAGATAGGTAATAGTGTGGTCTGGAAAGTAGGGATAGGTAATAGTGTGGTCTGGAAAGTAGGGATAGGTAATAGTGTGGTCTGGAAAGTAGAGATAGGTAATAGTGTGGTCTGGAAAGTAGGGATAGGTAATAGTGTGGTCTGGAAAGTAGTGATAAACTAGGGTGGTGGTCTAGGAGGTAGCCTTCTTCCTGTGTTCACTGGCTGTAAACTCCGGCAGAAAGGTCTGGTTGTTTGTCCACCTCTGGACTTTAGTCTTGTTCCAGAACCTGAGTGTTGCGAACACATCTGTTTAACATATCTTACTTAACTGTCTGCAGATTGTTGGTTCCCTGCTTTTTAGGCAGATGCACTCCGACTTCGAAGCAAGTCCCCAATTAGTCGACTCTTACGACATGCTTGTTGAGGAGCCAGTGTGTCAATTCTTGTTTTTTCCCACAATGGGGCCTTGGAACCCACACGGGAATTGGAAGCTAAGAGTGTAAGACGGGGGTCTTAGAAATAGTGAGGATTCGGGCTGTGGTCTAGAAAGTACTGAGTGATTAAGTAAGTTGTACCCCACCAGGACGTCACACAGGCGATAAACACCCGGTGACACAAAGTACCACCATGAGAATCGCCCGTGGAGAGGTCCCAGAAACCACGTTTAACCGTTAGGTTATATTAGTACCCCGGGCAACAACCGGCTTCAAAATATTGAAAAATTGCATCCTACAAGGGAACAAAAAAATTGAAAGTACTATCTACTTTTACCGCACCAGGACATCACACAAGCGATAAACACCTGATGACACAAAGTGCCACCATGTGAATGAGGATCACCCGCGGAGAGGTCCCAGAAACCGCGTTCAGCCATTAGACCATATTAATGGCCGGTCCATATTGCGGCACCTAGCAAGAGCTAGAGTGGGGCTTCAAATAACGAAAAATTGCATCCCACAAAAGGATGACTAGATCGTAACATTTAAGTACTGAGGAGCTAGGGGTGTGGTCTAGAAAATAAGAAAGAGTTAGGCTGTTAAGCAACAACTTGGTACTGAAACAGTTTACTCAAATGATTCTCTAACGACTGGTATGTTTGTTTCCAGGTCCTGGTCTGGTGTTTGTCGTCTACCCAGAAGCCATCGCTACCCTGCCAGGTTCCATGTTCTGGGCCGTTCTGTTCTTCTTCATGCTGCTGGCTCTGGGACTGGACAGTGCGGTCAGTTGTGTCCCTTTACTGGTTTGGTTGAATTGTGTATAATGGTTTGTTTGTGGTTGATTTTGTGGTTGCATGTGTGCTGGATGGATCGATTTGTAGATTTATAAATGAATGAATGGGTCGATATAAGGAAAGATGGGTCGGTTAATGAATGCACGGATTGGTAAATGGATGGATAGGTGGATTGATTGAAGTATGGATAAATAGATAATTTGTATCAATATGTAGATTTTGGAATGGCTGAATGGATTTATATGTGACACATGGATACGTCCGTCCCCACGTGGAACGCATTTTTTCGTTATTTTGAAGCTCCGCAAAGACACATAGATACATGAGTGGATAGATGGCTCGATTAATATATGTGTGCGGATGGATGGATGAATGGATGGATGGATGGATAAGTAGATTTATAAATGAATCGATAAATGGATGGATGGATGAATAGCTTGATAAATAGATTTATAAAGGAATCGATAAATGGATTGATGGATGGACGGATGGATGGCGGATGGATAGATTGATGAGTAGATTTATAAATAAATCGATTGATGGATTGATGGATGGATAGAAAGACGCATTGATGAGTGAACTGATATATGGTGGAAATGCACTTATAGATCGATCAATATTCCGATGCACAGATTATGTAGGTGAATTGATGTATGAAACCGAACACACGACCTTCCGATCCGCAGGCAAGTGTCTAGACGCTCGACCACGGCGGCTTCCTGTGTAATATAGGTAACAATTTATTTTTAAGCATGTGTGTGGTTGCCATAGAGACCCCATGCTAATTTGTGTGTGTCTAGCGGCCATTTAATGTCACTCTTGTGAGTACACTGGTTTGTCCAGGTGCATGTAATGCTGTTTTAAGACGGTTCGGCTGGTGGGTAAGAAAAATCTGGCAAAGTCTTAGGGCATCACAGGGTGTTCATCTAGCCCCGTCTTATGTGTCCTTTACGATGTTATGTGTCTGTGCTTCATACATACATGCCTGTCTGATCTTTTCAGTTTGGTGGCCTGGAATCGCCGTTAACTGGTATCAGAGATGAACTATCGGAACTACAGAAGTGTCGATACTTCCGTGAAGTGATGACATTGATAATTATTGTATCGGCTTTCCTATTTGCCATTCCCTGTGTGCTACAGGTAAGATCATCCCTTCATCCCTTGTGTGCTACAGGTAAGACCATCACCTCATCCCTTGTGTGCTACAGGTAAGACCATCCCTTCATCCCTTGTGGGCTACAAGTAAAACCACCTCTCCATCCCTTGTGTGCTACAGGTAAAACCATCTCTCCATCCCTTGTGTGCTACAGGTAAAACCATCTCTCCATCTCTTGTGTGCTACAGGTAAAACTATCTCTCCATCCCTTGTGTGCTACAGGTAAGACCACCTCTCCATCCCTTGTGTGCTAGAGGTAAGACCATCTCTCCATCCCTTGTGTGCTACAGGTAAAACCATCTCTCGATCCCTTGTGTGCTACAGGTAAAACCATCTCTCCATCCCTTGTGTGCTACAGGTAAAACCATCTCTCCATCCCTTGTGTGCTAGAGGTAAAACCATCTCTCCATCCCTTGTGTGCTACAGGTAAGACCATCTCTCCATCCCTTGTGTGCTACAGGTAAAACCATCTCTCCATCCCTTGTGTGCTACAGCAGATAAGATCCTCTCCTAACATTGCTTGCATACTTTAAGCTGGTATCAAGCCGTTGCACCATTACAGTAGTGTATTCGCCTGCTAGTGTAGTTATTATAGGCTCAAACTCCCTGCCGGAAGTTGTCTGCCAGCTCGCTGCTCGGAGACAGACGTTGACACAGTAAATAGACAACGCAAAGTGTGTCCAGTCCATGAAGTGTCGCTCTTGTTCGCCGATGAAGGAGGGATCGATCATTTTGGATAATGTCCAGTGCAATGAAATGGACATTCTCGCACTTAAATTTATATAAATCAAAATGGACGCTAGGCACGGCCACTGTTTGGAGCTGTTGTAACTTTTTTTGCTTCTGCCAGACGGCGGCCGTTACATTTTTGGCGCGAAAATGGCGCGATTCCTGTTGTCGCAATATTGATAGTGCCATAATGTGATTAAAATTGATCGCTTGTGCAACTGCTGATGTGATGATGACTTCTACTACAGTCCATGATGAACTGCATTTCTAATGTCGGACTGTTTGTGTTAGCACTTCGAATGGCTACACTTCGGATGGCTACCGTGTGCTTTTAATGCGTGTGTATGCTAGATATGCTGAGACAGCAGTCTGTCAATCTTTCCACAAGGGACTGCGATAAAAATGCTGTGTGTTTTTCGTTGGCACAGGAGCGAAGCAACTGTGGGGTGACCCATTTACTATGAAGCTGAAACTAAGATTACCAGATATAAACTAGGAGCAGACGGTGGAAGTAATTACATTTCGAAAAAAAAGTGATGTTTAGAAAGGTGGGTGATGCATAATATAGCCCAAAAAAAGAATGCTCGCATACTATATAGAGCCTGTTTTAACATACGGCTGTGAATCCTGGATAATTAACAAACAAGCCGAACAATATCTTGAGGCCCAGGAGATGTGGTTTTACAGTAGAATCATTAGAATTCCTCGGACGGACAAAAAAGAGCAACCAAGATGTTTTGAAAAAGGTAAATGCTCGAAGACAACGTATCACAAACATCAGTATGAGACAGTCATCATTGTGTGGTCATATTATGAGACGAAGGAAACTGAAGCATGTGGCGTCTGGAAAGATATGTGTGTTGAAAGAGTCAAAGGAAGACAACGTGAAAAGAATTGTGACGATCTTTTGTCATGGCATGGAGATGTGTCAGTACACAAACAGATACATGCTGTTTAAAATATCACAGATTGTGGAGAGGCATGATCACCTACCCGTCGGTAGGGCACATGATGATGACGATGAGATCATCCATAGGTGCGAGTTGTAATTTTCGGCCTCATTCATGTATACACGAAACAGATGGTTTAGAAGAATAAGATATCACATTCAAGACCTATATAATAATTAATTCTGGTTTTGGAGTTGAGTTGATTCAAGAACTGACATCACAGCACTCGGGGCATTCCCGAAAGTGATGCGTCCCCATTTTCAGCAGCCAGCGAAGAGTTCCAGTACCAGTGGTGACGGTAGCAGTCTGACTGCATGTCTGTCTTGCCTTCTCTCCTGGGTGTTCATGGTCAGCCAGATCCCCTCATAGCTCCCCGCTGCATCACCAGACCGTGGTGATCCATTTTCTCCTTCGAATTGTACACTTTCACTCATAAAGCCCTAACCACGTCTGTCTTATCATGCATAAGTATTCCACAAAGTTGTGCAGAGCCAGCCAGTCTGTCGGCCTGTTAATTTCCCATCTTGCTGAGAAGGCCCATTCCACGCATGAGGCAATTTTTTTTTTTTAAATCTAGAATTGACTAGTTATGTGGGATACTTGCGTTGTTGCTAAAATGGACTCTAATTAATACCATTATTGTCTTTTATGTGTGTAATTTATTAGATTCTTGAAGATGATTTATTAGTTATTCTAACATGATTTTTTTTCCTCAGGGCGGTATCTACGTCTTCACCATCTTGGATACCTTTGCTGCGGGAACTTCCATTGTCTTCATTGTCTTGTGTGAGGTTGTTGCCGTGTCCTGGTTTTATGGTTAGTTCAAGAGCTGAGAGATTAACTTTTTAACTACCTGTTCACATGCCGCTGGCTAAATGATTGCATTCCGATGGTAACTTAAGGGGGATTGTTTGGGTATCACTTTACCATCGGCATGACGTTCGTCTAAGTTTAGTCCTTTACAGGAGGTTGCACAGCCAACCCCAGCATTTTTTTTTTTTTTAGCTTTTTCTAGGTTTTTCTAGGCATATTTACGTGAAGTAGTTTGCCATTTCTTTCTTAACTATCGGCTTCTTGATACCACAGTTTAAATCAACGAAAGGCGAAATACCCGCAGTTGGGATCGAAACTGGCACCCCGGCATTACTAAGCGCGTTCGCAACACCTAAGTCACAGATGCCGACAACGTCCATGTACAACCAGCAACAACAACAAAAGTGACCGCAAAGTGTCTAAAAAGAGAAGGGAAAAAAAAGGTGCAGGAACCCACCACAAAGAAAAAAAAACCAATCTGGCCTAAAACTTAGGTTGCCAGACTGCAGATTTTAAATGTGTTATTGCCCTTGTCCTTCAGGTTCCTTCAGATGTGAACTCAGTGTCCAGTATTAGCATGAATGATTTCACACTTATAGAATTCTGGTGGAGATTCGACTTCAGAGAATGTTTACCAAATATACAGTATTTCTTCTTCTTCAACACCTCCACCGGCTGTAAACTCCAGCGAAAAGTTATGGCTGTTCGTCAACTTCTGAACTTTGGTCTTGTTCCAGAACCTTAGCTTTGCGTACACGTCCGTTTTACACATCGTTTTTGTCTATATGCATTTTGTTGAAGCCTCGCCTCTCGTGCAGTTGCACTCCAGCTGCGAAGGAATACAGTATTTCAGAATGATTTCTTAGAGTAGGTCACAGATATCTCACACAACACGGACATATCGTATGTACTTTCAGCCTCCAATGATAAAAGCAGTAAGATTGTCTGATCTTTTGTTTTTGCCCGGCAGGTCTACCACAGTTCTGCGCAGACGTCGAGAAGATGATTGGAGAAAAGCCTAGCTTGTTCTGGAGAGTCTGTTGGAAGTTTGTCTGCCCGTTCCTTCTTATAGTAAGTTGCACGTTTTTGATGTGCTTGTTAAAGTTCGGTGTCGGCAGTGCATATGGGAGAGCTCAAAAACGGCTTAGTAACTTTGAAAGGTCTTTGCAGAACGTCGCTCTCATCACGGTCTGCCTGAAAGAAACTCGGTCTCTTGCCAGCTCTCCCGCATTGTGAACTTTATATCCTGTGCTCATCTTCGTGTTGGTCGGCCCCTGTCCCTCTTTCCTGGTACCATTCCTTCTGCTATTATTTTCTCCAATCTACCACGGCGCTTGATATAACCAAAATAAAGGTTTTTACTAATTTTACCAAATTAGTGGAATACAGCTTTGATTTGCATAATACTCACAGGTGGTTACAATTTCTTTCTGTGAGAGCAGTGCCCATGCTGGGTGGCCTGTCCTAGTCATTGTGCCCATAGAGGCATCCTCTGCCTAGCACAGTTAAAGTGATGACCAGTTTTTGGACAGCCCTCATACAATTTTGATGCTTTTTTTTAACATCCTACCCCAAACTGGGGAAATCTACAGGTCACGGGACAGTGTAATATTTCAGGGATGGTAGATAGGCTGCATGCAATCGTTAAACATAGGCGGCACTCTCTCGTGGAACGTAGGTGGGTTGGGGTTACGGCCAGTTCTATATGTTTTGGGGCCGTTAAAAGCACCAGAAAGCAGGGAAACCTAGTGTTACCACGCTCTAAAATGTTGGACTGCCCTGTGACGTCCTCTGAGGTAGGATATTTAAAAAGTACTAAAATGCTCTCTTCCCTTATCATTTTTCGAAAGGAGGACGGCGTTTTCTGCATAGCGAAGTTCAGGAATCAACTACTTCCTTAAAATTAACGGTTATAGTAATAGTAGCAGTTGTCTACGTGGTAACAGAAGTAGTGGTGGCAGCAGTCGTAGCTGTTGTTGTAATGGTAGTGTTAACGTTGCGGCTAGATAGCCTTCATCAGCACATTGTATAAATTACAACTGAGAGCCTTGATATGTACAACATTTAATGCACATTGTATAAATTACAACTGAGAGCCTTGATATGTACAACATTTAAATACAGCTTTTATAATAAAAAGTTTAAAATGTCGACGATAATTCTGTATGACTGTATATGTTGTGTCATCATATTCTTGTATGTGTATGTATGCCTTCATGTACTTATGTATGTTGTTACATTTTAACCTCTTGGTACAATTATCCATCTCGTGAGTGTGATTACAGTTTAACCTCTCGTTACAATTATCCATCTCGTGAGTGTGATTACAGTTTAACCTCTCGTTACAATTATCCATCTCGTGAGTGTGATTACAGTTTAACCTCTCGTTACAATTATCCATCTTGTGTGTGTTGTTACAGTTTAACCTCTTATTGCAGTTATCCATCTTGTGTGTGTTGTTACAGTTTAACCTCTTATTACAATTATCCATCTTGTGTGTTTTTGTTACAGTTTAACCTCAGATTACAATTATCCATCGTGTGTGTGTTGTTACAGTTTAACCTCTGATTACAATTATCCATCTTGTGTATGTTGTTACAGTTAAACCTTAGATTACAATTATCCATCTTGTGAATGTTGTTACAGTTAAACCTCATATTTCAATTATCCATCATGTTTCTCGTCAGGTGGTGGTAGCTTCCAGCATTATCTCCTACCAACCTTTGACCTACAGGTCATCGCAGGGCATATATACATACCCGTACTACGCCAACATCATCGGCTGGTGCATCGCATGCACCTCCATGTTCATGGTGCCAGGTTACATCGTCTACCGGTTATTGAGGAACACGGGTTCCTGCTCTCAGGCAAGTCTTGCTCCCGTCTTTTCTCTAGAACGGTATAGAAGATCTCTGAATGTTCTATTATATACCGTGTTTCCTCTAAAGAGAGGCGACTGGCCCAACTGTTTGAACGCTGGGCTCTCAAGCGGCAGACCCAGGTTCGAATCCTCGGTAAGGCTGGGGATTTTTTTCTGTCGGGGGCAAAATAAAGTCCTTGCCTGCACAGTCGTGGCGACAGCACTAGCCATGCGACCGTAAATCCTCAGACTCAAAGAACCTCCCCCCCCCCCTCTCCTATCGCGCCTACACCGCAAAAGTGGTAACATAAAGGCAGAGACTGAAAGTACCACCAAAATAAGTTCTGGCACGATTTTCGGGATACTTTTATATAAGCCCTCAATAGCCCTAAGTAACAATGCTCCAGAAGATCACGTGACTCTATTAGAATAATTGTAGACTTGTACATTCATACATTTAGATTTTTTGTACCCGAAAGGGAAAGTTAGGTTCTTTTCTGTTAAGTCACCACATCACGCGAGTTTAGGGAAATCCCACAGTATGTGGGGGGAGGAGGATCAGGTTAATAGTAGTCGCTATTCGTTCAACACCAGCCCTAACCTGACCCCCTATACTATGGGATTCCCCTAAATCTCGCGTGTTTTGATGACAACAGATAAGAACCGAAAGACA